TTAACGAAACTTGCGTGAACTCAAGTCGTTTGCAAGCCCCATCACGCATGGTAACTATCCGTTGGTCGCTACTAATACCACGTTGTGCTGGTAGCCATTGCTCTCCGTCTTTTCTTTATTAAATCACTAGAATCTTTGTTAGCCACCAAAGACTCATTCTGGTACAGGTCCATTTTTGGGCATGAACCACCCACAGACTTGGCAAGACTTGGCAAGCCAGGGACGCTACCGTCAACTGGTCTTCAACCTCATCTTCCGCATGGGATTCACTCATAGGTAGATGATTTGTATCGATTGGGCAATGAGTATTTGCGTAGAACGGTGGTACAACACGCTGCCGTGACTCGACTCAGAAATGGTGGAATTCTGTGACGACGATGACGCTGTAGGTTTTGTCATCGAAGCATGCGATGCAGTTCAAGTCTGGACATGCTTCGACGACAGCCGCCAGCGCCAGTCGGTCTGGTAGTCAGAAATCGAAGCCTGGTTCGTAAATGCAAGGATCATCACTGTTTGGTCGTTCAGAGTGACCACCTGTTGAAAAGATAGGAAGACAAAAACCTTTAGCTCATGTACGAGGAATCTGGTCAATTTTGAGGTAGCAACCATGTGCTCGTCTATCAGAGCGTCGAGGTAATGAACTACTAACTTGCAGAAGCTGCTGGTAGGAAAACGTCAGATGAGAATTGAAAATAGTTGTAACGACTCTGAAATTTAAGGAAAATCATATCTTGAATAAGCTAGGTCGCCAGGCATAACTTCTTTAGGAAGAATGGATAATATGACGATGATAACGACAGTGCAACGAAGTATGTTCTCCATATTCTTTTCTAAATATGTATTTCAGGTCCATTGAAAAAAATTAATAATCGAATGCATTACCTTCAATGGTGCTAACGATATTGTGCAGTTACTAGTCATGAAGAATGGAAGAGTTGATCAATAAAATGCGGTCAGAGAAGAAGCCGTCGTTATCGATGGTGGAAACATTTCGCCCAAAGAAGCTGATCCACTGGTCTGGATAACGTCGGTGATTAGCGCCCTCAGTGTTCAGCAGTTTTCAAGCATATTCCAGAAAATGGAAGATGTAAGATCGAAGTCGTAGAGTTGCGTCGGCATGCAAGAAATTAAAGCGGCTTTCAGTCAATCTTCCCTCGGGCGATCCTGTCTCGTCTCTGTTCGACTACGGATTATAAATCTTTTAATAATCATGGATGACCAAAGCAGGAAATAGGTCTTTAAGGAGAAGTGCAATGAATGGTAGTCATGAGGACTCATAATCAGCTTTTCTAATGTCCATAAGGTAAATCTGTTCGGGCAAAGGCTACAAGCTTCGGTTAAAAGATGGTGGATGGAACTCCTTTATTACTCACTTTTAAACAGAACAAGGTCATGCGTTATGTCGTCTGTTCTACGGAGAGGACGGCAAATAATGTGTTTATTATCAAAATACGCGGAACCGATGGTCTTAGAGGTGATGAATTTTACCTCCTTTACTCCAGAGGTGGAAGACTCGAGCGACAGCCATCCCAAAGTGTAGAGAAAGCAAGTTTAGTGCGGTGTGTTGCTACTATTACCACTTCGAGCTGATTGCGGCTGCAGGCCGCCTCCGGTTAGTGACGTCTGTTGTAGTTTCAGCTGTTCAGTAAGTTGTGTGTAGCGTCGGTTATTGCCGCGGCGCCCAAATGTCTGGCCGGCGTGAAACTTCAGATGAAGCTGGGGTCTGCGCGTCGTTAGGTCTTGGTCATGAGATCATACGACACGGATAAGCTGGCGATTATGAAGACAGCATACAGAATATGATGCATAGGATGCGTCCGCATGGCTGTCCTTTGCGACCATCAAAGTCTGAAAAAATTTTTCCCGCAGTTCGGGGGGGGGAAGGCATTAAAAATACATAATCTGCTTCGAGACATTGCCGCCAAGAATGCATAGTGGAAACGACGTCCAAGCTTATCTTCTTTATCTGATCTAGGATCGAAAAAATGGCAATACGTAAAATCAAAATTGACCAAAATCCGGCTTAAGGAAATGAAGATGCAAATACATTTAATCACATGCTTGGGTCTCAAGTGTTCATCATCATTAGTGAATAGTCACTGCAAAGGTTAATATGAAAATGGTGCAACGTGTTTATTCATTATTTTCAAAGCCTGGTATTTTATTCCGCTGATGGGGGGGGGATTACTGTTTCAGGAAGTTTTTACAATGATTTAACTTACGCCAAATGGAAGAAGCTCTATTCAGAGACAAGAGAGAATTTATTTTTTGACAGTTACATGTGTTGATTAAAACAGAAACCTTTACAGTGGCAAGTGCTCTCCTCTCTGTGTTTCCTTCCCATTTTTTGTCTATTCGCTGTCCCTGTACCGTAATTATGAAAAGACCTGCGAACCCGTACAAGAGATTTGGAAGAATGTGACTACATGGAGAACTTGTTGATCATGCAATGCCAAAATGTTCTGACTTATGAAGGTGTAAAACGAACAATAAAATAATCGACAGTGAGTTATGCAGACTCTGGTGAGGAAATTAGGAGACACGTCCATAAAGGCGTCTTGCAAACACCTGCGCTTAACACAGCCTACGATTTGCCTTGAACTTCCACTGGACATTGCATCGGGTCCTTTTAGATGACTACCGGTTCATAAATGAGCTATTGACCGAGAAGCATAACCCAGTTTTGAAAACCAGTTTAGAAAATAGGGTTAAGTTCTTTTCCTTTACTATGGTTTCACGTGGGTATTCTGAGGAAATAGCTCCGTTTCTTCCATAACCCTGTCGTTTCATCCGTCCGCATGTTGTTGCTTCTAAATGGCAGATGTTCAGCCTCGCTTAAATCCTCATTTCAAAACACCTGTCGTCGTGCCACACAGAACAATAATATGCCTTGGACGAGGTGTCAGCGCTTTCTGAAAATGTAATTGCTGCGTCTACTTAAATTTGGAGAAGGTGCAAAAGGATTCTCTGAAGATATCCGCATGATATGACCCCTTCTCTAATACTGTATCCTGCTGCTGCATATGACCTGCTTCATTTTCAGGCATCACAAGGAAACATAATATAACAGTCAAGTTCTATACTTTCATAAGTAGTAATGTGACGGCTGAAAGGGCCGGATATTGCCGATGCACTCTCTAACAAAGCAATTCTGAATGCTGAACGAAATAAATGCCCATAAGCGTTGTGCAGTTTTATACAGTAAGTTAATAAGATGTACATTTTACGCTGAAAAGCGTTGTTTCTAAAATTCTATGAACGCTAGGTATAGAATTAGACTGGAAAAGAGTCTTTTCCTGGTCTGGGCTGATTTATCATAAACGGTTTTCCAGACTGGTTTGCGAATGGGTTGTCATATAATGAACGCTTTAAACGCTACTTGAGCCAGACCAGCCATCATTAATCTGAACACTCCACCGTTTGACATTTAAGTTGTCTCAAGTGATGCTCAGATCGACATACGACTTATTGGTTTCCCAAGTTCGACGAATTGTTCAGTAATGCCATAATCCAGCATACAGTAGACAATCGAGGAAATTGATTATCAGGCAGATCTATTCGAGAATATCTCACATATCTCACTCATGATACAGAAGCAAATGATTTTTGAACAAGGACAGATGGTTCAATGCGGCAGACGGTTCTCGAAGAGGCGTCATCTACCGATCAACTTGCTGTACGCTTTAGACAGGCTTCCTTTATGACAGACAGACTATCAGTACTCGGTTTCAACATTTGCTCTTCGCAGCTCAGTAATAAAAACGCAAAAAAACATAAGCATACAATGACAGATGTGTACTTGACTAGTTTCTACAAGAATTTTAATCTTAGATCAATAATCAGCGTAAGAAGATCTTCTTCAACATGTGCTACATCAGCAGGAACATTCACCACCACTGGTCTCCGCTAAGCTTTGGCTCCTGTTGAAATCGGAACTTGCTCGTCCATTCCTCTCGGCCAAGAGCAGATAAGATTTTATATAACTTGTGATCAGTATTCTCTAAGATTATTGATAGACACCTTCCTTGTAACTGATTCTGAAAATTCGCTTCACCCAGCGATTCCATGGAACGGCCATGGCCTTAGTCCCAGCACAAGATAGTGTTAATAAGCAACTATTGTCCTGATTAATATCATCTTATGGAAAAGTCACTGCGGTTACCATTCTGTAAGATATACCTTGTGTCAAAATGGGTCTTTGTTTGGAGCAAGGAAGAATCAATTTTCTTTCCAGCTGATACGCATGCACTCAATTATTGCCCTATCTGAAGCTCTTAGGGCGTTGGACGACATCATAGTTCTGTGTCGCTGACCATATTCGGTCTCAAACACCTCTCTGTTGTTTTGAGCTTAATCCAATTCATCCATTCCTTCCAGCTGATCCAGCTCTGAACAACGTGAACAACCCATGAAAGTAGATCCGGATTCAAAAACCAGTTGACAAGGAGGTGAAATGATTTCCAACAAACAATGAAAAAGAGGACATGAATGCTACTGAGCGAAAAATTTTCAATGAGCGATGCGTTCAAAAATTTGAAATCATTCAAAATCCGTGATTCGAAACTCTCTCACTCAAACGAAATAAACAAATAAAAAACAAACAGAAAAGTACCTGCAATGAATAATTGCGAGGGACACGAAATCGTCAGAAAAAACACGGCCAGTCTCACATAACTGGCCTTGCATATATTTCTGTGCTAATGTATAACGGATTATACAGGACGCGAACGAAACCAACAACTCGATAACAAGTAACTGCTGAGGCGTCGTTTCATAGTCACACGTTTGATACACGCTTAGAGTACTGTACGTAACATAATGAGGGTGATTCAGGCATGTCAGCACTTGCGCATGGATGACTTGCAGATATTCTATATTTGATGTGTTGGACACTAGCTTTATCACTATCTATTGTACAGGTAGGGTTTTCATTTGATCACCAATACTTTAGAAATCGGCTTACGACGAACTGGTTTCCAGACTACTTAGAAGGTTCATCACAGAAGCCTGATCGCTTGATTATTGTCAAGCATGGCTCCAGCTTAGACCTACTGAATTTCATTTGAAAAGGACTTAAACACCTGCATTTAAATTGCCCTGATCTGTGGAGTGTGCTGTACCTGGCTGCTGTTTCGATCACAGAAGC